GACGTACAAACGTTCTCTCAAGCCCTACTGCTATTGCATTAGATCAATTGGTTAAAGGGTGTAAGATGGCTATGCAATCAGCTACGGTTTTGGCAGAGGAAAATCGACGTTTACGAGCTGAATCTGAACGTCAAAAGAAGAAGAAAACTGTGCGACGTCAATATATTGCTACTGGGGGTGTTCTTACAGGTCAGGAAGGGAGGGAACTTATTCAAAATAGTGATAATATGGTTTTGGATGAAGCTGTGGCCCCGCTAATTGAACCACGAATTCGTGCACCACGAACCTGTAGTATATGTAGATCACTAGCGCATACTGCTCCTAGGTGCCCAGATCGAGAATAAGAAAGATAGTATAGTTTATATAAATAAATATTAAGTAGTTAAAGTTCTATGGTTTTTAAAAGTTGGATGGTGGGGTAAAAAATCCGGACTGCTTATAAATCCGGACTCCTTATGAAGTACGTTACATGTACTCGCGCATACTTCTTGCTATGATGCTATCATTTTACTTTTCTTCCTGCGCATAACTGTAGGAATTCTAGTCATCACTTATTAGTAGTCATGTTGATTTGTATTGCAACAGGTTTTCACCCCTTTGATAGCAATCCCAACAATTGAGCTCTATCTACGATTTTTGAGGCTAGGATACAACTCTCAAAGCATCTGAAGACGCAGTGATACAGAGACAGAGAACTTCTAATAATCTACATACATGTTGCATCAAAATAGGGGAATGGAGAGGGTGTATGAACGCTGCTTCCCAGCAATGGCTTCATTCAAAAGAGGATAGCCATAGATACAGTTGGTACCAGTACATTAGGTCAAGGCTATGATTCCTCTTCTCATGGATATACACGAGAACCTGGGCCACCTCCAGTCGCAATTTATATGTTTCGACGACTCATACATGGGTGCTCTAGATTTGTAAGCGACTACGTCCCTTCCCGTAATCAAGACACATCTTTGAACCATTTTCGAAGCCGTTAAGAAACTCATTCTCCACACTGCTAAGCCAAATGATGTGAGGTGGCCATCGTTCGGGATAGGGTTTCTCTGCTAACATATAGTCGCAAAAAACTCGGAAATACTGCCGGAATACGTGGTCCGCGCGAGGGTGAACAGATTTTCAGGTGGTATCCAAATTGCGACTAAGCGAAACCTTGAGTAAGCCTGTAAGAAGAGAAGGACGTCGACTGGAACTGGTGACAGTATTATAGGTAGTATAATAGGTAGATCCTTGTTGCAGATGAACACTGTGTCGATTCTTTGGGGCATCGAATACCCTAAGCCAGCTCCTTGTAAATCGTTATTAATGTGGAAATAACCAGAAGAATCATGGAAAACTTACCCCGAGGGCACTTCGTATGATGCATCCAAAGCGCGTCTTGCTCAGGGGAAAAGTATATCCAGTTCCTTTTCCCGCCCGGCTGGTTGTAAGGTACGAGCATGTAGGTTGGATGGTTCTTGGTGACGTCGTGTTGGTACAGGAATTCCTCTCTTGACTCTCGGCATCCATGCAATACAGAGGGTATGGATCTTCTCGTTGTGATATCTGGAGCAGGCATGTAGATGTATGCGCCTTGGGTCCAAATGTTGGCGCGTATTTTTCGTCATTTCACCATATGACTGCGGAGAGAAAACCCAAAGCTAGGGACCACAACCGACCCAAAGCCATCTTTTCCTGGGGTCCTTCACTCTGTCGTAACGTGGCGAATATGTTGATGCGGGTGAAATTGGCTTCTGTTGTGGGTTTTGGAGACCGACAAGACAGATACAAGCCGACCTATCCAAGGGTGGATGCCTAGTGGCGAGAAAAGACGCTAATAGCATCAAGGTGCAGATAGTAAACAAAAGATTCGCTAAACGGAAAATCTAGCCGACATCCCCCATGTTCACCCGCCTTTGTGATGACGAAAACAAAGACAAGACAAAACATGAGAAGCGGCATGTTCATTAGCCAGCGAATACGACAAAAATCAAAGGTCTGTAGTCAATTCGTATCCTAGCTAAAATCGTAACTCCCTTGTCCTAGAGTTTATTCCTGCTTGGTCGCCAACTTGACAGAGAACTTCGTTTCCAATGCGTCTGTTATGATTGAGTCATCGTACAAAGATAATTTGCTCTTTACGAGATTCTCAGAGAAGCAGGCCTTGTTGCAGCTCATAGCAAACATCATCCAAGCTTGTTGTCACAACTGGGATAGGGGGTCACGTGCAATAATGTGACGTACGGTAATCCATTTCCCACTTATATAGCAGAGTTTTCTCACCTGATTTCCTGCTCCTTAGAGCGTTGTCAATCTAATTTGAACGACCAATCTGTAAGCGAAACTTGTGTTATGTTCTGATAAGCAAGTTCATCAATGTTACATCCAGAATCCAGCTCTTCTTCTGATCTCACATGCGTATTATGCTCTAAATACTTAAGAGAAAGTGAACGAACCATTTTAATTAAATGTCTCAAGACTTTGGTTGATCGCACACCCCTCCCCCCCCTTCCCGCATAACATCCCATTGCTCCCTCAGGACCACAGGTGGTGCCACAACAGATCCCTTTCAAATAGCCCTTATTAGTATAGAATATTGCACGCCAATAGTGATGTCAGAACCAACACTGTGGCAACACAAAGATGCCTGTTCCACGCAGAATTGGCGAAAGTTGCATGAAGCCAATCCATTGGTTCGTCAGCTATGAATTTGATCCAAAAGAAGGGGAACGTACCTGGATTCGAACTCTCAAGAGGAATTATGAATTGAACGTTTCTCATTGGAAGCCACGGCCACTCTCAAAGTCCAAGTACACGTACCCATCATGAAATACATTTATCGGAGACTGAGACTGCGTTTTGGGAGGGGTATGTCGTCTTTGCGTTAGCCAATAAACTTGTAGAGGCTCCCTTGCTGGAAGAATGTGTTTTGTTGCTTCTTTGTGTGACTCAATTATAGAATTTAACACAGGCTTAATCGCGTGCAGATTTGTTCTTAGGGAATCCAACGTTTTGCCCATTGCCCAATCTGAAATAACCACCAGTACGCGAAGGTTCGGAAAGTGACCCACAAAAAGGGGAGAATGCGGGTCATCTAGTCCAGGGCCAAGCACGGGTTGGAGTGGCCGTAAGAACGAGTAAAGTTCAACGTCGAGAATGAAAAGATGTTAAATATTATGGAAAAGATTTCGGCTGGTATTTCCTATGGTCTCGCAGTTAGTAACTCATGCAGATTTAGCTTTATGGATTAGTCCGACTCACCTATTGTAAAGTGAGCAAGTTGATGTTTGAACATGGCGTCTTGTTCAAAAGAGAAGAAGAACTTGCGATCGTACTGACTATGGTCACAGCCCAGGAGTACGTAGGTGGGATGATGTTTGGTAACGCCTTCCTTATTGTTTCATTTAGGTAATAATTACCTTACTTACTAATAGACTTTAGGTTTAAACCTTAGTCTGTTCTCGCTTATTCTAGAACGTTCGATCACGTGAACCGAAGCATTCTAGTATCCCTTTCTATTTATAAGCACTTCTATTCTATTTATAATCTATAGAACTTCCTAGGATCTATCTAAGGAGTATATATAGACCTTTACTGTCCTTATAGTTAGAAAAATCAAGTCATTTTCACAAGTCAAATTCTTACTCTTTTGATTCACGATGTACCTAACAGTCATCTGACCATCCTACTTCCACTGTCTTATATACACTCTGTATATAACCGATACCTCTTACACTTATATAAATACTCCCCTCGAGACTCTTGGCATACATGTAATATAGCAGGAACTGGTCATTGATAGCACACAGTTTCGAAAAGCATAGATGGCCATCCCTTGGTTTATGGTCTCGAAATCTGCCATGGGTGTTGCAAAACGGGTTTTGGCTCAGGGGTTGCGAAAGACCATATCATGATTCGTATTTCCTTTGGCAAATAAGAAAAGTAGATAAATGTAGCTTTCGATTTGTTCCCAGGTAGTGGTTTCCGGCCTTTTTGCAGAAGGTTCATACGGATGAAACCCAGGATGGCTGCTTGCGTGGTTGCTAAGATCGCCATTGTGGTAGCTTTTCGTTCTCTTGTGTGATGATGTTCTGGCTGATACATGAGTAGAAGAAACCCTATGTTTATAAAGATATTAGAACTATTTATCAATTGTTCACCACAGACTTTCTTGGCTGTAACAGACGGTCAGTGAACTGATGTAAGAAAAGATACGACTCGCTGATGTAAAAGACTTTACAGTAATTACTATTTTTCTGCCCAAGAAATACCCATTCACTATGAACGGCTGCACAGTAGCATGAGAAGAAACAGCAAGCATAGAAATGCTAATCACCAGGACGTAAGGGTATGATGAATCCTAAAGTTGGCTGAATAACAGGGGAATGGCTAGATTTGGACTTGCATACTTCAAGAAAACTTTATTGATGAAGATGTATTTACAAAATGAAGACAACTCAATGTAAAGCAATCACTGGGTATTATTTGTAGGTTTCTGATAAATTCAATCTTTTCTTCTACCTGTAATTTACGTTTGGCTAGTCAAAGTGATTCTTTGCTACCTGAGTGATAAGAGGAAAGAATGAATGGATCAGCTATCATAAAGTCTATATCACTGGCATGATTAGAACAAAAGGGAGACGATCTGACCATACTACGAATAAGTGGGAGGCTGCTACCTGAAGTCTGGTAATTTCTGAATAGTCAAGTTTCATTAACCGTTATTTGAGCGCTGTCCTGCGATTCATACACGTACGAAAAAAGAAAGAGTGCGATACTATCTTGAATCCGGAACACCAGAAAACCTGTTGGCCACAAATCCACCTGACTTCATTCTTATAATGATCAACAGATCGCTGGGAGCAAGCCTGGAGCAATAAACAAGCTCATAAACTTCAATTGGGGGTTAGTAGATCCCGTAAATGATAAGTATGTACTGTACTTTAATTCCCGAGTGTACTGTAACCCAGACTTTATTTTGATGGCCAAAACTAGTACATAATTGTACTACAGCAAACACCATAAGCAATTAAAGCACGAGCGGGGTCTTCATTATTAATGCTACAATTGTGCGACTGCATAAAATGAAATCTGCTTGGAATGCTACGAGGAATGCAACAACAGATGATAAGCGTCCAATAAGCGTAAATCGAATCTCTGTAAAACAGGGCCGATCTTCTCTTCTACACTTGAGAATGCGATATCAAAAAAGCCATGTCTCTCAACTACAGACAGGAAAGAAATGCCCGTACCCCGCATATGCACCTTTCTTTTTGTCCTCACACTACCGCGAATATTGGACGTACGTCGTACAGATAGTCAGACCCAATCATTTTTTCACGCAGAGAAGAGCACGACCTTGCATTGCGTGCTGTACTCTGATTAGTGAAACAAACCTTTCTGGTTATATACTGTCTCCGATGCTTCTCACGCTTGTTTTGCGTTCTTCCAACCTCTCTGTAGTTTGTAATATCCTTCTTTCGTTTCACCCAAAATGCAGTCATTTTCAGTAATTCTCTCCATTTTAGGACTTGGGTTGCTTCATGTAGCCATTGGTGCCTTGGATCCAGATGGCGTCCCATATCCTGATGACCCTTCGGTTTTGAACCAACAGGCAGGTATAGCAATATTGAAAAACTACGAGCATAAGAAAAGAACTGGTATATATCTTCATCATTCAAAAAAGAGTGCAAAACTTACTCAACCCCAGATTACATCTTCCGACAAAACCTGTCTCCCACCGCAAAACTCGCAGACAAAATCGTAGCTCAGATCAAGAAAACAGAAGATATTACCATCTGGAACCGCTACGCCAACTCCAACAACCCAAAGTTTCCAGGGCAAAACTTCGCTTCAGCCAGGTCGACAATCGGTACCACAGATCTTTTTAAAGTTGTGAAAAGACTTCCCAAGGGTTCACTTCTCCATGCTCATCTCACTGCTATGCTTCCGTACGGAATCATATTCCAGACAATTCTCAACACGCCTGGAATGGTAATTTCAGCCGCAACGGACCTTGCAAGTGATGCCAATAAAAACAATACGTCGATAAACTTTGCTCACTCCAACACCACCGTGACCGCCGCTGCAGCAAGCATTTGGACCACATCTTACATACCAAACACTCCGGTTCTTGTTACTGAAGCTGCCGATGCATTTCCAGGTGGCAGAGTTGCATTCCTCGCCTTTCTGAAGGATAGAGTCACACTAGGTATTGACGACGCCGAACAATCGGAATTAGGCGTTGACGCTATCTGGAAAAAGTTCCAAGGGATCTTCGGGACGGTGGGTACGGCGTGGAGTTACGAGCCACTGGTAAGATCGTTTTTGCAAGATCTTTTTGGAAGTCTGGCAGATGACGGGGTGCAATGGGTGGAAATTAGAAATGGAGGGAATAATGGGGTTGTGAAGACTGGGGATAGCGTGGCAAGTCCGGATCCAGATTACTGGTAAGCTTATTCTCCGAGTGTCAAAATTGGTAATGAAAAGGCTGATAAATTGGTCACAAGGTACAATCTCTTCCAAGACGAGGTTACAAAATTCAAAGCCACGAGGAAGGGGAGGAATTTCTGGGGTACCCGTATCATTTGGACCGTCTCTCGAGGTCGCGAAAGAGCGAGAATCATTTCAGATATGAAGAATGCCTTGAATTTCAAAGCTAAGTATCCAGATCTTATCTCAGGCTACGATCTTGTCTCGCAAGAGGATCTGGGCCGTTCACTTTCCGATCTCACACCAGAACTACTCTGGTTTCAACAGCAAGCCGGTGCTCGAAACCTTACGATTCCGTATTTCTTCCATGCGGGTGAGACCCTGGGTGACGGAAACTCAACCGATGATAATATCATCAGTGCTGTCAAGTTTGGCACGCGAAGGATAGGACATGGATTCTCGTTATTCAAACATCCTACGTTGATGGATATTTATAAGGAAGAGAATGTTGCTGTCGAGGTTTGTTTGATTTCTAATGAGGCCTTGAGACTCAATGACAATGTTTTGCAACATCCTTTGCCGGCGTTGATTGCAAATGGTGTCTACACAGCTCTGAGTAATGATGATCCCGCGATTGAGGGACAGGATGATGCGGGGTTGAGCTATGACTTTTATGAAGCGATTCAAGGGTTTGAGAACATTGGGTTGGCAGGCTTGGTGAGTAGCACGCTTCTGGTCCTATTTCTGAACAAGGGTTTTGACTATCACTAGGGTAACTTGGCTCAAAATTCTGTCCTCTTCTCGAATTTCGAGGACCAGAATAGTTATAAATGGTATACAGATATAGAAGAAGGTGCGAATGGAAGTGGAATCAAGGCAGATCATGTTAGGGAGTGGAACAAGGATTGGGAAAAGTTCTGCAAGTGGGTTGTCTCTGAGTTTGGTGCGAAGTACAACGCTACTGCTTGAAGGGTAACATAGTTTATAGCTTCTGGGATATAAAGCCACAGCGTAATTTCAAGGAGAATAATATTTGAATCAGCTTTGTCATTATTCTTCAGCCGCCCTTTGTTTTGAGGGCTTGAGTTACATGCATGAGGGGAGATGCAGTTTCCTTTTCCCAACGAATCTGGTATAATTAGAGCAGTTGTGTCCCAGAAACAACTGTTTCCTGCTTCATGTATTCTTCATCGAAGGCGAGTCCAAGGAAGTACAAACGAAATCAACAGAGCTATCGGATTTACCATTTCGAGCGTAGCGTCTACTCATAGGAGCCACGGCCGCCATCTCAAGCAGTAAATACACCTCACCTATTACATATCGTTTCACTTACTTCTTCCCCAGATTGTCAACAGCCTTCACACACTCGAAGAAGGCCTCCGCAAGATTACTCCTCACACCACCCTTTTCCAACCTCAACAAGCCTCTGATAGTAGATCCGCCAGGTGTACTAATTTCATCTCTAACAAGAGCCGGATGCTGGCCCGCCATAATCAACTCCGCACAGCCTTTCATTGCTTGCGCAGCCATGATCTGAGCATCTTCTCTGGCCAACTCAGCCGAAACAGCAGCATCAGTCAAAGCCTCTACAACGAGAGCAAAGAAGGCGGGAGTGGAGGCACAAAGAGATGTGGCTGGATCAAAATTGTGGCCTGACAAGTGCTTGACAGTACCGATGGAGGTGAATAGCCAATCAACGGTCTTTAAAATAGGAGCCGGTGTAGAAGACGGTGCTTCAATGATCGTCATTGACTGTCGAACCGAGGACGATATATTGGCCATTGCTCGAATGATTGTGCTTGGCTGTTGGCTCGTATCATCTGGTGCTGCAAGCATAGAGGATAGTGTATGAATAGTAGCACCGGGAAGGAGGGAAATGAGGGTCTTGCCCGCAAGTGCAGCTCTAACTTCTGAGTTGCCGAGGCATGTTTGCAAATCAGCCCGTTGGCAAGCCAGAATGATTATATCTGCCTTATGCAGATTCTCGAGATCCGTATAGATTCGGACGTGGGTTGGGAAAGGGGCGAGAGCTGTCTGTAAGCGAGATGCTGAAGCAGTGGTGCGAACGTAGGCTGCGAAGTTGGTGGGGGGCGTAAAACTAGCTGTCTCATTGTCTATCTCATGGCTCGAGGAGCTTGGGAGACTTGCGAAGCTTGGAAGGCTTGAGGTCTCATTTGGTCGATCTTTGAGGGTTGCTAGAATTCCACAGAGGAGTGATGTTCCAAGATTTCCTATTTTCCCATTTTAGTTCCCAAGAAGATGGGAGATTATTGTGGAAGGTTCCCTACCACACCCCAAAACAGCCAGAGTTGTGCTACGCTTTGGTGTTTTTCCTTCTTCAATCGGTGAATGGCTAGCTCCGCCATGTTCTATTCTTCTAAAGAAGATGTCCATGGTTAATTGACTGAATTTGAAGCTTTTGCTTTGAAATGGGTCAAGTTTGCATTGAAGATAGAGAATTGAGGAGCTTTCCCAGAAACAATTTGAGATGCTAGGTTCTTAATCAGAGCTTCTAAGATTATTGCCGTTCAATGTCCTACGATTTTGCTATCTGTTTGGTTGGCATGTGACGCATGTACCCCTTTCTCATACCCACAATCCTAGCCGACGGTTATGACGGCAAAATTACATTGGCGTTACTATTGTCTTCTTCACTAGAAGTTGTACCCCTTTGTATTAGGTCATTGACGTGTTCAGTCTCATGATATAATTTTGGTACTCAAAAGCTTTAATTTGCTTGTACAACTCTGCGCAGATCATGTCTTTGTCAATGTTGCATGATGAAAAACAAAGTGACAAACGTGCATGGCATGCATGGTATCTAGGGTATGTGATGTTGTGAAACAACGAGCTACTCAATCACTACGATCGTCATTTTCGTTTAGATACACAAGTGCTCCTTCGAACCATCCTGATCATGCGGTGGAAATCTGTGTGCAAGTGTCACAACTGTTCATTTGCGTGTTCAGAAATCCCATCTTGCATAATTCACAGTGTTTTATGATTCATTGGCCTCTGATTCAAAGAGAATATATGAACCTATATCAACTTGCATCTCTGGGAGAAATCTTTTCAACCTCATCGGTTGAAGTTGTCTTTAAAGGAAACCCTGTAATCTTCACATGGTAACAGTGCACCCTGAAATCCCTTCCATAACCCAATTTTCCAGGATCTAGTAATTCACTTATATATTTGATAGTGAATATGAAGAAATTAATGGGATTCTATTGGCCAGCTTACTTGCATAGTCCTGAAGTGATTTGAAACCAATATCAAAGAGCAGTGAGGGGCATGAGGGGCACAAGGAGGGTCAAAAGAGTCATACAAACAGTGAAATTAGGATTTCTTTAGTCATCCCTTATTAACTTATATTCTGGCTATCTTCATACTTGCAAACCCCAATACTAGGATATTTGGCATACGGGTATCCTAGGTTGCATTCTTGAAAACTTTGCGCCATTTGTTAAAAGGTATAGTGAGTGGAATCCATATTGCATTGCCAAAGGAGCAACACGCAGGGGCAATTTTCCCCCTCCTCATCTAGATACACAATTCGGGAGGGGGGTCACAGACTCAATGGAGACAGAGCAGCTCCCTTTTCACATGTTGAAGAGACTGCGCGATAACAACGAAGGACGCCCTCCCCTCTCTTTCCCCACCCCACCCACGACACAATACGAACATTAATAAATCTTTTCGAACTTGAGTATTCTCTCTCTATGTTTAATTTCCAACGCATGTATCCTATAAAATCCTTCCTTCCAAGCAAGGTCTCCTCAAGACAAACTCTCACATTTTCTTCTCCTTACAGGAACAGGGCCAGCCCAAAACCAACGCCTTCTTTCCGAATCATATATTCCATACTCCACTATAAAACAATCTACCATCATTACCCCCTCATCATATCCAACAACTCCCTATCCTCTCCTCTTCTCACCCCCATTAGCCTCACTAAGCGCCCTCAAATCAATCTTCGGACCTTCAAACCCGTCTCCCACATACGCCCACAACACCCCCACTACCCCCAGAATCCCCACAATAATAACCGCAGCCCAATTCATACTCCCAATCTCGGTCGGAAACCTCGTAGGAAAACAAACCATCACGCCAAGTAACACCGTCCACACAACCGAGAAGGAATTAACCACGTATCCCCAGGCACCCAAATCTAGTGGTCTATCCGGTAGTGTAGTTTTGCCACGGCCTCGGAACAGGAGGATGCCTTGCGGAATCGCATAAGTTAAGTCGAGGAAGAAGACAGTGGTTGTGAGGATGGAATTAAATGCTGTGGTGGAGGCTAGGTAGAGGAGCCCGTAGATGGAGACGAAGGTGACTGCTGCGAGGGTTGCGCGGAGGGGAAACTGGCGGTGGGTGTCGATGTGGATGAAATATTCTTTGTATGGAGTTCCGCCCTATGCTTTAAGTCAAGACGCTCCAGTAAATGATTTGAAAGGGGAGATAGAACTTACATCTCGAGCGAATGCCCAAACTAAACGGCCGCAGGTCACCCACTGGCCGATTAAAGAGCTGGTGTATACCAGGATGACCCAACACATCATGAATGTCGTAACGGTTTTGCTCTCTGTGATTTGGTAGATCAATTCCGCGCTTGGTAGACCTGATGTGATGACTGCTTGCATGTCTCTCATTGCGTACATCATCAATGTAAGAAGAGGGAAGGTTGTCAGAGCACCGATGAACATCGTGAGGTTCATCACAGCAGGAATCTTTATGCCTGGTTTGGGCACTTCTTCTGCAATGTGGATAGGTGCGTCACAGCCGGAAAATGCATACCTAGTCAGTTCCATCAGATTTTGTTGGAAAAGATCATTGAAGAACTTCTCAACAACTGACATTGAATTTATACTACCAAGAAGCCAAGCAGTCTCTTCGCCCCATCCACTTGTTCCAAGATGTGATTCGGTAAGATACGGCCATGGATTATTATGTTTCTTCATGGCAACTAAAACCACAAAGATGACCCCAAAACCGAGGAGCGAGACCCACAGAGAAATAGTCGTAAGCAGTGGTAGAGATCTTGGAGTGAGGTATAACGGTAAGACTATCTATGGATTAGACTCAGTTTTAAAGCTCCAAACATAGGATGACTTACAAGTCAACCCAATAACAACGAGAAAAATAAGATAAACCATCCAAGCACCTCCCTCAAAGCCATCGTTCCAGAACTTCACCAACCCAAATATTGAAATTGTGGCGAGCGAAACTCCACTAGCTGTAGCAATGCACCACCCAATGACAGAAAGCCACCCAACAACGAAAGCAGCAAAATCCTTTTTCTTCTCCGAAAGAATCCAGACGAAGTGGTACTGTCCCTAATGATCAAGTCAATATTCCGCTACCATTCCCGAGTACAACTATAAGATTCCTCACCCCCGACGAAGGAAACGCAGAAGCCAATTCAGAGAGGCCCAAAGTGAGGATCCATTGTGCAAAAAGAGCCACAAGCGCTCCGAGTATGACACTTTGTGGTCCTCCATAGGAAATATTTTGCCCAAAATTGCTGACATATGAGGCCCATGAATTAGTGACGCTATTAATGTTCAGTCAATACTGCACAAGGAGATAGAACCGACTGGTTCACCTGAACCCAAGTCCCAGGGCGGAGAGCATGGAAAATGATCTTGGCATAGCCTGTTGATGGCCTTGAGCCGTGAGGATAGCTTGGTCTGCCATTGCCCAACTTCCGGAGATTAGATTTGTTGCTTGGTGCTTGCTGTAATCAGAAGGGGTCTGAGATGGTTCGAGGGTATCTCTGGAGTCGATAAAATACGGTAACACTCATCTTAATATCTGTTGATCTCGGAATCTTTAGGGTTGTTCTCTCGTGCTTCGTAGCATCAAAAACTATCAGTCGTGGAGGTTGACTTGAGAAATTTCACTTTTCCCAGTGACCCAATTTCGACGTTACCCAAGATGTTGTCGACTGCAAACTTTCCTTGCACACTCTATGACATAGTGTACCCTGTTGTACAAGTACAGAAGCTGCGGATGAACCACGACGTACACTTTTGGGATACACGAGAGAGGAGAACAGTAAAGAACAAGTAAATACTAATGTAAGAGGAGAGGCAGATAAAACCTTCGGGGTACCTAGGAAGAAACTGGACCGTACAAGGTAGAGTAATGACAACAGCCGTTGCAAACCGTAGAATACAACAATTGCAACATCAGAAATCCTTCCGAGAAACACGAGTTTTCTCATGCGGAATAATATCAGATAGTACCTTGTCCAAATGATTGACATTGGAATGTCCATCTTCAAAAAATTCATAAAGATCCGCATGAGGAAGTCGTTTTTACCATCCAACGGACCATGTTCACGGTGCTTGCTTACCCTTGGTTCCATGAAATACCAAAATGTTGTCATATTTGACATGTTCAAAATTGATACCCCAATCTTGAGCTAACAAGTAGGCCTCGTCCACGAAGCCCCTGATGCCATGCGCAAAACGATCAAAGGTCATCCGTAATACTCGATTCCTCCGTTCCTCAGACGTATCATCTTGTTCAGAATTAAGCTCTTGCTGCTCGTTGCTTTCCCTGTGTTGCTGACTTTCCCTCTGTTGCTGAGACTAAGATACGGTAGCTTTCTCTAATGAAGCATCAATCCATTTTTTCCCATAGCATGTATTTGAAAACTACCTCAGGGCTACTACCGCGCCCATTATCAGCGCCCCCAATCCTTGAGGCCAGTATGTTGCGAGCCAGGTGATGAATTTGGATACGGTCGGTACATCTTCCGTCCCGGCCTGTTTGAGTCCTCGCATACCCATGATAGTAATTGCAGACACCGTTCTTTTGGGCAGCTGACCTGCACAAGCCAACGCATATGGTCCTCCACCCGATACCGCCAATACCGCGTATTCGGGCAATTGAACATGTTGAGCGAGCTTTTGCACATCCGCAGGCCAGTCGACGATGCGACGATAGGGTTGAAAGGTGGGAAGGCCAAAGCCAGGGCGATCTGGAGCAATGGTGCGGAGGTTTTTGCGACAATCAAGATGGTTTACTGTAATAACGAAAGGAGATATGTAGGCGCTAATATTCTGCGGCTGAAGCCCTTGTCATACGAATTACAAATGCCACTCTTGGAGGGGTTTCTTGGGGGCCATTCTGAGTATTGGCCAATCTTATCAACCAGTGCACGCCACTTTGAAAGCAGAGCGTGTAACTCCGGTCTTTAATGACTTCATGAATTGTCGATTTATTACTTTGCTTGCAATACTAAAGTCAACGTTAGGAATAAGTTGAAGGCCTTTCGTGTTCCCTTGAATGTTAGCTTACCAATCACTTCACAAACAGGCTTGATTGGGCAACTTTTCGACCAAGTAGTTTCTTCTTGGCGAGATTGCCTCCTTTGCATGAAATATCCATTCCCCAGTGAAGGTGTAATCATTTTCGATTAATTGGAATACGTGCGAAGTGCTCTCCTGGACAACACACATTGACTCGCGTAGAAGAAATCGGGTTAGAGACGACAATGAGTATGCATATTGTAATCTTATATTGATTTCTGGCTTATTTGGAAAGAAAAGATGGATTTGTACAAATTATTGAAGCCGGGTTCTCAAAATATCTATCTATCACGTTATTATTCTAAAAGTCATAGATTGAGCATCGTTGATCTAGCCGTCATGAACGACTTCTCCCTCCTCGCCATTCTTAAAAAGTCCTCTCGGGCTTCCATATCTTTCTGCTCAGCATACCTCCACTGCTCAATCATCACCTCTCTCCTTTTCTCGCTTCGTGGTTCGAATGTCATCTCGAAGGGGCTCGGCTTCATAATAAGCAAAGAATTCGAAGATTCGGTGTCAATTTCAATCGCCTTCCCCGTCACAACATCAATTTTATTCTTCAAGTTATAACCCCAACAGAGGGCACCACAAGCAATAAGCAGCTCATCCTGCGTCTGAGATTGCCCCATGCATCTCCGTTGACCCCAGCCAAAGGATGTGAAGGTCTTCATGTTGGGATAAATGCTAAGTGGTTCGCGATAGGTTGGCCAATCTGAGGATAGATATCGTTCTGGATGGTAGTTTTCTGGATCCGGGTATTTCTCTGGGTTGCGTAAGAAAGCCCTGGGAGTGGAGTTTAAGTACAATAGTCCAAGAGTAATGTGAACTGCGATAACTTACCATTCGAGTGGGAGGATCCGCGACCCTTTTGCAATGAAGCAATCGTCATACCAGTCATCTTCTTCCACTTCATGAGCAACACCTGCACAAGAAACCAGTCAGAATTTGAAAATTTCGAAGCAAGTACTCTATTCGCACCTGTAGGAATATTCGGCCTCCATCGCATCGTTTCCAATATGCAAGATCTCAGGATCGGAAGCCTGGGACAATCGGCAAGTGTGGGCATTTTCCCGCCACACTGCTCGTCGATCTCCTCTTGACATTTTCTTAGCCATTCTGGGTGGAGGACCATTGCCATCAAAAAATAATGCAGAGGTCCTCCAACTGTAAAGATACTCATCAAAGCAACCATCCCAAAGACACAAGCGGCCTCGCCGTCCCCAGATAAGTTGGTCTGTGATTCGAAGTATTTCCTGGCGAAGCAGTTTCGTGACTCGCCCTTCTCCCACTTAGCACGAGCATTTGCCATCACTCCCTTCCAAAACTTCCTTTCCTCATCGTGACGTTTGATTTCAGCTCGTTTCCATGGGTTGACGCACAGTGGGAGATTCCATAAAGGGGTCGCCAGATTTGTAATAGGTCCTGCTGGCGATATCTGTGTAAGTAGTCGCAGTGAATGCTGCGTCAATTCGGTGCTGGAGCTAGAATCATCATATGCCATTTCACAGGCTACTTTCGATGCCATATTTTCGAGGTGATTGGAAAAGTTATCTGGATCATTGACTAATCGGTAGAGAAATCTTTTCGCTTCGTGGTTCATTATTCCATTGTAGAATTTGTTCCTCGCGTCTATGAGGTACGAATGACTGAGACGTCGCTGTCGAGACCAATATTCTAGGAGATGATGTTAAGCTTTGTTACGAAGTACCGGAGGCAATAAACGCACTGTTTTTACCCAGGAGTGGAAGATGACCTTCTGGCCCATCATTTCCTTTGGAATCAAACAGTGATGTGAAGGCTGGTCGATCAGAGTATATCTTGGCTCGTTTGACAAGAAGTTCCTCCGCTACCTTCTCGTCTGTGATGATGATGAAATTGTCTCCCATCATCGAGGTTCTGTAAACCGGTCCATACTCTCTTCCCCACTCAAAGAACTTCAACCACTGTTATCAGAATTGGCTATCAGTAAGCGAAAATACAACCATCATGTGAAATGAGAATTGGTACAGGAGACAGTGATGGGCAGTTTCCCACAAGCCACACTCACCATATATTTGACAGGCAAATCATGAATGCGACCAATGTAAGGCAACTGATACGGTCCCGGAAACTGACGGAAACTACTTTTTCCAATCTTGCTTCGCTGACTTAGGTATGAGATAACAGCAAAGGCCACCAGAAATACCCCAAATACAAAAACAGCCATTGGGGAAGTGAAAAAGGAAATAAACCACAAAGGTTTTGGAAGTTGAAGTAAGAAACTGGCCTACGAGTTCATCAATGGAAAGATACTACGGTAATATCGGAGAAGGGGTCTTATATAAGGAAAGAAGCACGATAATCCATCGTGGAAACCCCTGGTGGCCGCTTATAAAGTTCCGGTTCAGTGTATGAGAATCGGGCTATTTGTGTGGAGACCTTTATTTTGAGTTTATGTACAGCTCAGCACCAGGGTACTATCGATGGCAAAATTCATGGATATAAATCTTTGGGGCCAAACCCACGACGAATTACAGTGACATCTTTGTTGGGTGAGATCAATGCCACGTTTTATGTATTGAACTTGAGACTGGGTATTCATCCTTGGGTGGCACAGTAAGGGAAGAAAGCAGCCAAGCGGGGCCAGACTCTGATAAGATACGAGCAACCCTGTAGAATGCTACTTTCTTTTCTGTGGGATTGGTCAAGTAGAATGAAGTAGGATTTTTAGATAGGATGATTCGTAATTATGTTCTATGCATCGACAGATAAACAGAGCATCCGAGTTTAACGAAGAACCAGCCAATCGCTCAATATTTTCCAGTTGTTTCGGGTTTTCAGGACGTCTGAGCTCCAAATACGCTGGGCGAGCCAGAGGAGGAAAGGGTCCGCCCATCTGACGAACTGCACCCTGGGAACCGCAAGCAGACTACCTTTTAACACTAGTAGTTGCTTAACGCAGCCAGATAGGCTCATACCCAGTACAAGAGTTTATGGGATAAACGAAAACGAACCTTGACTATAGGGTTGGGCATTTAGATCTAATTTATAAAAATTAGAAATATTTAGTAAATTAAGCGTTTAGGCAATAATAAATTAGATTCTAATTATATGCGTCACATGACCTGAAGTGTGATCTCGGGGCGGAATATCCTAATATCCGGCTGTGCTGTAATACTAAATTCCTAGTATCGTTAACCTTTATAGACGAAAGACTTATTAAACTTAGGAGAGTACTTATACAAATAGAAGAAGAAGACAATAAATCTAATGAGGGTATAAGTAATATTAAGATTAACAAAGAAGAGGTTTAGTATTAATAATTCTATAAATTAAGTACTCTTCTAAGTTATATATATTTTTAGTAGTCTTTCTAGTAAATTTTGTCTATATTTATAGTACTAAAACCATACTAAGATTATAAATTAGATACCAAAAAATAAATTAGGCTAATTTACGGGTTTATAAATTAGATTTAGTAAATCTAAATTTAGATTCGACGACCCTACTTGACTAAACAAACCAACGCCGAGGGTTGTGCGTACAATCTTCTCATGACGCAGGGCAATGATGTTTAATTTAGTCCAGACCACCCCGGAGCAGAAACTCCAGTTAAATTAAGTCCGAAGGTGGTGGCTACTGTATCAAGCTGTGCACTAGATAAACTCTATGCCGTCCAAGCATTCGCGCCGTCCACCTGATTCTCCCCCCTTTCTCGAAGCGAGCCCGAAGCAGAAAATTGATGAATATCTTTTCTCACGTGTAGTTAGTTATAATTGAAGAGATGTGAGTGGAGCAAGACTGTGCATTACTCGATGATACTACGAAGTCCGGTTCTGTTGCTTTGCTGCGGTCACTTGACTTGGATAAGAATAAAGCCAGAAAAAGAAAGAACAATTGGAAAAACAATTATCAACTCTCAAGAAAGCTCTTACTCCAAATGGCCCCCAATCAGGCAAACAAACTGAAGGAAATAGGCATCGGGTAACAATCACAACTAGATACAAGTGTTGGAGACGTGACCGGTTCCTCCACCTGCCTAATCAGGAACGATCACTACCCCGCATTTGCAAAATCCCATGCTTCGATGATCATCGGAAAGGCACAAAAATACTAGAAAACGGATGAGAAGCATGATTGGATATTCCTCTGTATGTAATCAACTGTTGAGTGTCAACTTATGGCTCTTGGTGGACAAGAGAAGTGGTAGAAACCCCTTTCCTAGTAGCGCACTTAATTCAGACCATTCAATTGCTCTAGGGGTTTCTAGACCAATGAAGAGGATGAGACCAAAATCCTGGGCGATAAAATCAGCTTTTTAGAACATTTGAAAGTATCACTATAAGTGAACTTACGCTATCACGTTCACTGCCACTTATTCCAGCCACCCGGAACCTGGTAAGACGCAGTGCCGATCTTTCATTTGCATGCAAGCCCAAGTCGCTAGAGTCCAATCAATTCAAGAATTACGAATTCTATTGCTTGCAGATGACGATATCATTTTGTTGCCTAAAGAGTCCGGAATTTCGGATGAGAAGCGGTGATAATATATTTGCCAACAATCCAATGCTCTTTCTTTCAGCCCTCGGCGCAGTAATAACATTATTTATATATAATCTCACTCACCCAGGCCTTTCACATACCAACTTAAATCATGGGAGGTGCCACAGCCCCTCTCACAGGGCTCCCTCACACCAACCCAGCGAAATCCTACTGGCAGCGAAACCCCCATCGCATAGCGGATCTCCGTAGCACAGACTCGCTCCCTAAATCCTCAAAATATATCATCATCGGATCAGGAATCACAGGTGGCAGCATTGCCTACAAGCTGCTCGTTCACGAACCCGCCGCTTCCATCGTCTTACTTGAAGCGCGACAAGCGGCAAGTGGAGCAACCGGTCGTAACGGTGGCCACTGTCGTCCAGGAGACTACGACAAGTTCTCAGCCCATGTTGAGCGATTCAGTCTCGAAGATGCGTTGCGAATGGAGAAGCTGGAGGCTGATAATGTGAAGCTTCTGACGAAATTCATCAAGGAACATGGAATTGAATGTGATCTTAATGAAGTTGAGATTGTGGAGATGTTTACAGATGAGAAGCCATTCAAATATGTTCTGGGTGTTTTGGAGGCCAGAAAGAAGGTTGCTGAGATGAGAAAGGAGGCTCCGGTCTTGAGAGAATACAGAATTTGGAGTGCTGAGGAGACGAAGAAGGAGCTTCTTATTCCTAGCGGTGTTGGTGCTGTATCTTTAGTAGGAGGCTATCAGCTGCAGCCATATCTCGTGGCTTGTGGGATTCTGGAACTGGCAATTGAGAAAGGGTTGAATTTGCAAACCAACACTCCAGTCACTAAAATTTTGAAACTCTCCGAAGACAACGAAGGTAATGGGTGGAAAGTTCATACCGATAGAGGAGATGTGTTTGCTGAAAAGGTTATTTTGGCGAGAAATGCATATTCTGGGGCGCTATATCCGGATCTCGCTGAGTTCATATCCAACCAACGAAACGACAAATGTGCGTCGTCCGACCAGGATCAAAGATTGTCGATACTGGGGTCCTCCCAAGGACCGGTGTCTGGGAAACCGCAGATTCTTCTGATTATTATCAACAAAGATACAAGGGCTCTCTGGGAGAAGGCGATCTAGTACTAGGTGCGTTTTCAAACTGTTGGCTATGTATAATGTGCTGACTTTTCCAAAGGTGGTAGTCTTAGGGCCAGTTCTATTGAAGACTCGTCCATCGTCCCAGAAATTACAGAATATTTCGCGCATAAGCTTCCCAAGAGATTTTATGGCAGAGAGAATTGGAGAGAAGATGGGGAGATTATTCAGGAGTGGAGTGGCATTATGGGGTATACTTTTGATCGCCGACCCATCATTGGTGAAGCTCCTGGTCAAAATGGGCTGTGGGTTTGCGTTGGCTTTAATGGACATGGTGAGTTGAGAAGTCGGCTATTCAAACATTACTAATACTTCAGGCATGGCTCTCACATTTCAATCAGCGGAGGCTCTTGTGCAAATTTTGGATGGTAAAGAAAAGGAGGTAGATAAGTGGCTTTCTAGTTGCTACAAGATACAGAGGTTGCTCGAAAGTGGCTTATGATTCTGACTAGGTACTGGGCGCAAGGCGTTTAAGGGTTCCTTTTTATATATCTCCTAGGTCTACGACAGTTAGTAACTAGTTCGAGGGGCTAAGTTAATGAACTCACAAGTATCCCTGTTTCCAAAAGAAATTCCGGCACTGTTGAAGAATTTTCATCCATTTCCCTCTTCCTCATTCGGAATAATTCCCGCGTGCTGCAGGAGTTAATCTGGAAACTTTCTCATTTCATCGAGATGTAATCCGGACGAAAGTCTCAAAGAGGTACCAAAAAGATGCGTTTCTGGGCCTAATTCCACTTCAACTCGAGTCCTTCTCTAGTTCCCTCGACCTCAACGCAGCCTGGACACCAATCTGTATCGGGGCTAACGGAGCTAGCCAAATTAATCTTTATACTCCAAGGAAGGAATTTCGAGTCAAAAAGTGTCAGGTTGCTTAGACACGTGACATCTTCCATCATTTGCCAAGAATCAGATGTAAACAAAATATTCAAAGTTTGAAGATTTTCAGGCAAAAGGTTGCCGGGCAACGCCCATGATTTCAATACTCTAAATATTGATGTGCTGCAGTCGCAAATAGTGAGATGTTTGAGAGACTTCGGAAAAAAGTGTTGATCAAATATTGCCATTTGGTTGTAGTTGGTTGAACGAGAATTTGAGCGGCGATCTTTTCCCAACAAAAGATGAGCAGATATCTTTAGCTTAATGAGTTTTTGAAATGAGACTAATGGTGAAATAGGTCGCTCTGCCTTATCGTCTATAACCTCATTAGGGTATTCGTGTTGGGTAAGTATCAATTCCTCTAGAGAGTGGCTTAAATGAGCGACAGAATCGACGAGAGATTGTGGCACAAAATCCATCTTATGTTGCTCCCAATTATCAATAGACTCATCCTCATGATTGAAGTCAAACTCGAGCCGGCGAATCGAACTGAAGAGTTGAAAGAATTTCCTGACTTGTTCTGGTTGGATGAAAGCATGGGTCAAGGAGACAGTGTCCTTGCTAAATAATGACCTAGGTTTCGATCCATCGCAATAGATTGAACCCGGAGTATCTATATGTCTATCAATTCCAAAATTTGGTCTGGGAAATAGACTTCCGTTCACTCTGTGGCATGAAAAGTATTGGACTGATTCAAGCTCAAGATATGGCAACGCCTGGAACAAAGCTAGTCCCTTTTCTGGAAAGCTATTCTCGTCCATGTTATGAAGCCTTACACGGCGAAGGTTTTTCATAGCGAGAGGTGAACTTGAAGAATCCCTCTGGTATGTTGCAGCTCGCTTCAAAAATGACTCGACATAAGGATGCCCTCGCTCAGAACTTCCATAATGCAGCATATCGATTTCTTCGAGATTCGGAAGTACACAAAGCAGCATAGATAGAAAAGCATCGTCGACTCCTTTCCGAAGTCTTTTCCAATGAAGACGGTGGTCAAAATTCGCACTGTATGGCAAACCTTTTACCATGACAAGCTGGAGTCTCTGCCAATCAGAGTCATTCAGGTTTTCAGGATTCGAATAGCTCTCCTCGGTGAAATAAACAAGCCTTTTTGCACGATCGCCCAGGTCTTCATGAGCCAGAATCGTGCGGAGGTAGTAGTGAATAGATGTAGGCTTCCGCAGTATACATGACGAGTACAACCAAGGTTTAGTGGCATTGTACAAACGACGAGAGCAAATTGCCAATGAAGCTAGATCCTTGGGGGATGGTATTTGTTCAATGATGAGAAGGAGTATCTCATCGTTACACTTTGATATATCGAACATGGTTCCGGATGGGGCTCGATCGAAATTGACAGCTTGACAAGTGCTTCACACATTCATATCACCGGCGCGGCCAGCGTGTTGGCGAGTATAACTTCAGGTGCTATACGCGATATGGTTTGACGTTTCCTGGCTGTCCGTTGTAACTAATTGTAGAAGATATATGATTGTGCAACGGTAGTGGCAGTTTCAACATGTAGCCAGAGTGCGGATCGATGAGTTGTAGAACAGTAGAAGTCTGGAAGTACAAGAGTAGGAAGAATTTTACTTGAATTTAGACTACTGTGGCTCGTCCGAAGAGGGACTGTGGGATTTTAATACGAGCCTAGGTAGGTTCACGCACTACTTAAGTGTGTCAAGTACTTGGTACTGAGGTCATATTGATTTCGTTTGTATTTCCCTTCGGGCCGCTAGTCGGCCGGTTCAAGTGCCGGCCCGACTCCATGTCCGATCCGGATTCCAGCCCCACTTTCCTTTCCTTTCCGAAGCAACTTCTACAGAGGACAAATGAAATTGATTCCCACTGCGCAGTACGATCTTTCCCAGATTCTTTTTTCGCCCATACATCGTTCCGGAGCCCTTTCGTGAAACTTCCTAGGAGAACACAGAATGCATAAACTCAAGGCTCGAGTCATAGCGAAGACACACTTCTCAAACTTCCCAGACGACGTCCACGACGTACAGTAGTATCCCAGTGGGAGCATGGGAGTCCATAACACTATGGACCCCCGGTCTATAGTGTTATAGACTACCGTACTTTTAGTAGGAATATCAAAATTTTATAAATTTTCAAAACTCTTTAAAACTTGCTAGGATATATATTATAATATAAGTTAATCTATATTTCCTAAATTATATATATCTTCTAGATCTTCTTTATATAATCTATTCACCTCTACTTTCCGAGAATAATACCCTCTAAAATAAGCGAATCTCTCTAGGTAGACCTACTATAAAAGTCTATACTATTACTATTACGACTCTACTAAAGATCTTTTAAAGCTATAAGAAGAAAGAGTTTACTAATTACGCTATATCCTTTATATAAGATAAAATAATAAATAAGTACTATAAGACTTATACGACTACCTTTAAAAAAACGTTTAAAGAAGTAGCTACTCTTCGGAGATAGCCTTAAGCTATTTTAGCTAGGTCTCTAGATAAGCTTCTCTTATATAAGATTTAAAAACTATAGTGTAAATTACCTAGGTAGAATAGTATTTTTACTAGAGTTTTAGCGAATTAATATTATAAAATTAATAGTAAGAGAATAAATAATAGTAAATAGTAATAGTATTTATCGAATATAACTATAAATACTAAAACTTATTCCTATTTAATATCTCGAAATATATAAACCTAAGTAAGTCTCTGTCACGAATCACGTGTTGGCATGTGATAAGCAAAGACCAGACGGCGTCCTGACAGGTTAAGCACCAGCAACACACTCTTATAGCAAATAGGGATGCTTAGGCTAGCTAAGCGATCCAGGGATTTCATCTCATAGAAGTCATGTGACCGTCATTGATCATTGGTGATCAACTGAGCAACGCTGAGCTGGATCAGTGGGATCAGGGTGATCATAATGATCAACGAGCAAGAAGGTTCTATATAAGACTGGCACGTCTGCCATTAGATAGGAGCTTCGTGCTCAAACATTGGTGATCAACTGAGCAACGCTGAGCTGGATCAGTGGGATCAGGGTGATCATAATGATCAACGAGCAAGAAGGTTCTATATAAGACTGGCACGTCTGCCATTAGATAGGAGCTTCGTGCTCAACTTAGTTATCAATCTTATCATATTAGTTTGACATCTTTGATACAAGTAATGAGTTCACTTCCAAGTGAACAACCCGATAGTCTTCTTCTTATCATAGCATACCAACAAGCGAACACCCAGCCAAGTTTAGTTAGCCAGTTTGAGTATTCGTTACAAGTAATTAGACTTCGTTCTAGGAGCGTTCTAGGAGTGTTTCTACTTAGTAATCGTTCTAAGATAGAACTATTTATTAGCTAAATAGTGTTTAGTTAAATATATTATATAATTATTATTATAAGTAAGAATTTAGATTTAGAGAATAGTTATCCTTTATAACTCTCCTAGGATAATTCTAGAACTATTCTCGAGAACTCTCTTAAATATTAAAAGAAGTAGAGGTTATATAAATAAATATAAGTACTTAGTACTACTCCTATAGGCTTAGTACCGATTCTTACTTACCTAGGTAATTGTCCTAGAATACTTCTAGAACGCTCCTAGAACTATTATAAACGATTACCTAAAGTAATATCTTAGCTCTAGGGTAATAATTACTACTGTAATAAGTAAGAAATTCTTAATCATACCTAAACTAGTACTAAGTAAAATAGTTCTTACTAGGGAAGTATAATATAATAATTAAGGGATAGTTATCTTTTACTAATATTTATATTTTTATAATTATTATATAACGGTTATATAACGGTTATAAAAACCCCGGGCTCTCCTTTAAAATACTAAGACACCCCAGTCTTCTTCTTATCATAGCATACCAACCAGCGAACACCCAGCCAAGTTTAGTTAGCCAGTTTGAGTATTCGTTACACCGCGTCCCTCGAACATATACTAGTAAGAATTCCCGGCATCTGGTTGGCTGGAATTCGAGTATATATTATAGAGTTAGTAACGGGTAATTACCCCGGGCATTTATCGCTTACCGCGACCGTAGATATATAAGTAGGTAGAAAATAGACGAGACTCGTAAATATAGAGATCCGGGAACGAAGCCTCAAACATTATATTTACGCTCGCATACTCGAGTACCAAATAAAGTAAAGCTAGAAACACGGATCAGGATAAAAATACGAAATACGAAATATAAGCAGCTGGTAGCAGGAAGGGAACCTTAGTTTTAAACTATAGCCCTATATAAGGTTTAATAAAAAGGTTATAGAGATTAAAGAATTAAAGTTACTCTAGCCTATCTTATATAGAGGGTAGGCTAGGAAGCTAGTGTTTCTCGAGTAGTAGTAAATGTAGTTAATAGAGTAAATAGTTACGCTAGAAGGAGGAGTAGATATAGTTACGCTAGGAGATAGAGTAGATATAGATAATAAAGGAGGAGTAAATATAAATAATAAGGTAGTTAAATAGAATTCTATATATACTATTATAGTCTCGAGTATATTTACCTAGTCTACTACCTTATAAAGTACTAATACTATTAGGAATATATATACTATACTAAGTAAGCTAAGCGAGCTCTTAACTTTAAACTTATAAGAAGATCTTACGTTATATAAAGGAGTTATATTATACTTACTTTATAAAATTATTTAAATATAAATAGTAGTATAAAGTTCTAAAACAATCCTTCCTTAACGCCGAATTTCTCTTTCCTATTTAAGTTAGGCTATAAGGTAATAAGCGTTATATATAGTCGCTATATTATAATTATACTTTCTAAGGACTTAATAATTCGTATAGGATAATTCGGCCTTTTTATTCTTACTATTAAAGAAAACAAGATATAATAAGAAAGGCTTCTATACTAAACCTAGTACCTAGTAATAGTTATACTAGGTTACTCGATTAGTAGTTCCGAGAGCCAAGAGTAAGAAGCTATATAGTATGTTCTATCGAATTCTATTACCTAATCTATTTATAGTATAGTCCGACTACTTTTTATTCTAACTCGGATTTCTCTTACCTCCTTAGTTTAACGTATTAGGCCTAACTTAATAGACTACTAAGCGTTTAGATAACTATTAGAATTAGTAATTATATTTATTAGGTTAGGTGTTATTATTTACTAGGTATTTAACTAGTACTTAAGATTATTAAACTAAAAATTCGTATAATATAAATAAGAGGTCTGTTCTACTAGTATCGTTAGTTTATATAACTAATCCTCTATTTCTAGTAATTCGATTATTGTTGATACGACTGTACAGGTTTGTTCTCTCTCTCTCTCTCTCAAAGTGTGACACAAAGTAAGCGCGCTGATTCTCGATTGTATTCTGTGTGTTCCTCCTATCTACAATTGCTTCGGACGATGGGTAAAAGAGTGTGGGTGTCTGATACGAAACACGTATCAGATGCGTGGGGAAAAACGTGACATAGGAAAACGTGACCTGCACCGCTGAAAACCCGAATGCCAGCATTCCAACAATTCTAGTATTCCCAACAATTATGTATAGGCGGGGTAGGTACTAGCCTAACTATAACGATTTCTACCTCGGGAGATATATAATAGATACTAAGAGACTCTACTAAAGAGACTCTACTAAAGAGACTCTACTAAAGAGACTCTACTAAAGAGACTCTACTAAAGAGACTCTATATTTACTTAAAATTTCGAAGTTATTAGTTTTAATAAATTATACTAGCTAATTATATAAGTTATACTAATATTCTAGTAAGAAGTTCGAATATAAAAACTAGAGCGCTGAAAACTATATTATTAATAAGAAGATAATATTTAATTGTAATAGTAGGTATTCTAGTAGGTAAGAAAGTAATAGTTTATAGTTCTAGATATACTTATATAAGGATAACTCTATACCTATAAGTAGTACCTTATCTAGTAAATATATATAATCTTCTAATAATTTTAATAATATATAGTTTTTCTAATCGAAATTATAGATAGCGCTAATACTAATAATACTACCTATTAGGAATACAGCCTTTTAAAATTACTTATTAGCGTTTTAACTAGGCTATAATTTTACTAAATCTAGACGAAGACTAGGCTACTATTTATACTAAATCTAGATAAAGACTAGGCTAGCTATTTATACTAAATCTATACGAAGACTAGGCTAGCTATTTATACTAAATCTACATAAGGACTAGCTATTTATACTAAATCTAGATAAGAACCCTATTTATACTAAATCTATATAAGAACTAGCTATTTATACTAAATGAGAACTAGTTAATTATACTAAATTAGACAAAGACTAGTCCGGCTATTTATACTAAATCTAGACGAGGACCCTATTTATACCAAATCTAGA